AGTACGACACACACACACACACACACACACATATATATATATATATATATATATATATATATATATAGAGGCACACGCACACACACACATATATATATATATATATATATATTAAAGTAAGCTTGTGTGCTTTTGTTTTCTGCAAGCCAAATTAAAGTTATTAAACAACTTTTCATGCGTCCCAATCAGGTCATCGGGCTTCCTATAAGCCTGCAAACGGACCGTTTCGTAGAATTGGGCGAGCAAGGAGGATCAACGATTACCATCAAAGAGGTGCAGGGGTATGTGAACTCTCACAGGAAGACATTTGTAGACCTCCGCCACGCCCCCAAGTATAAATTTCATGTCACCGAGATTGTATATTTTCAAGAAAGCTGGCAATTAAATGAGTGATTTGAGAATAATGACGTGCAATTTGTCGATGTGTGATAGCCGATAAACAGCTGCGTCATACTACGAGTGAGACGCGGATATGTGGTCTAGATTATGGCCAGAATTTACAACAAAAATTCTGTTGTCAAAATGGCTTCAGAGTAATATATAATTTATTCAATAGTACTAATGTTTATTCGCACACACTTGCACCGATTAATTGCCTGTCCACTCTCAAGGGAGTCATTTGTGGGATCTGGGTATTCCCCGTTCATCAATGTAACCGTGCCAGATGTCAATGAGGTGGTGACGGCTGCCATGATGGGGGGTGCGCAAATGGACGGACCTATCAAACACCAACTGTACGGCAAGGCATGTCCATGTCCATGTTCACTGTATACGTTAACTCGGCATTGGCAGGATTTGTTCATTGTGAGTCGTTGGAAGTATGTGATTACGCACCTTTGTTATATAGAGAAGCGTTCGCAGTGTTTTCTCTAATCTTTTCCCCACAGCCTGCGAGTGCGCCTGTGAAATACGTACGCAGTGATTGACAGCAGTTTGCTCATACTCTGTATGCAAGCAATGGTTTCGACTGTTGCATCATATTATTCATACGGTACACTACGATCGAGGCACGCTTATTGGAAGTCAGCAAGAATCTAGTCCTATTAAATTATGGTCCGCCACATGATTGCCACCTTCCTAGCTGAAATCATTTTTCCTTATAAGCCATAACAACTCTTGCACGCCAAACCATGCTTAGTCTAGCCTTTCCTATAGGCGAAATCGCGCGTTATGTGATCACTTTCTTGCCCTTAAGTCTCACATGTCTTCCTCACAATTGTACACTCACGGTATAGGTAGCCTCTATACGATCTCCAGACGGCCAGATGATTGGGTTGTACGAGCCAGCCGAAACTACCGGTTGAATTCGTGGATATAAATGTACGCAGCCAACACAAAGTGACACCAACGACTCAGATTCGGGGTGCGATCGCAAGTGACCGCGTTGTCGAGCTGTTGGGGGGGCAGTTGTAGAAGAGGTTTCTGTGCAGCTACGACCAAGCTAATGTATTGTAACAGAAGCTTCTTAGGAAAGTAGTGCAACAGAAGCTCCTTGCGAAAGTAGTGCAACAGAAGCGTCTTGGTGTGCTCGCCAGTGCATATATTGGTCGAGTCAGTCGGTGACGAATGCGTTATGTGCCAACAGATTCAATCTCAGCACGGCACTGATGGATAGGCCACACCGCTGATGTTAATCACCGATTCCGTGTAGAAACCGTTTTGGAATCCCGGATATCGGGTGGTAATATCCGTAGGCAAGTGTGGCGTATCTGAGATAGACGAGATGGCCACATTTTAGGGTGTGCAATTGGTAGAGGGTAAATTCGGAGTTGAGGTCTCATAGTTGCCCTATGTATGGCGTAGTGCGAGGACCAAGCAGTGTATGGCTTATGAACTGTAAATCTGGGATGAGAGTTCATTACCTATTCTATCGGTTTGCTGTATTAAAATCTCGCCACTATCGCTACGGATCAAAATTGCCGGTAGTAAACCGAACATGTGCTAGAGTGCTTCCAGGTCTCACATATGAATCTTAATTGAAAGCCCGTATATGTATGACATTGTAGTTGTGTAGCAATGCTTCGAGATAAATGGGACGTGTCTTAGATGGTCTAGTGATGTTGTTAGTGAATTCAGCCCACTTTATTTGGCACAGGCTGCCTCTGTAGTTGAGTGTGACCTTTGACGGTCGCGAATGGGAACCACCTGGAGCAACCAAATTCTGCACTCCCTGTTCTATTCCTGGCATACTAAAGCTTAAATGTTTTATGATAGAGTTCAGGTTATGAATCAGTATCCGTATTGTTGTCTGCCATTACACGGGGTAAAATTCTAAAGTAGACCTTACGATTACTTTCACTGGTTCATATAACATATATCGGTATCTTCACTCAAACCCTTACGCCTTCCCTTAGCATTGGCGTACACTTGTACCTGTTATAAAAAACGTGCATACAAGTATCTACGTAGGGATTGTACACAGTTATGTGTGTTTGGCAGAGTTTCATGCTTCCATACGCCAACGAGGATATATTAATTGATGTTCGTGTTAAATTGGCTCCAGAGTCACAGGCCCCAAATCTCTAGTTCCGTGCGGCAAGAGTGTGCGGTATTACACGTCTCCGTCTATTGCAACTAACGCATACACAGCCTGCATGCAGATAGCAAATCAACCCCAAACTCAGCACAAGATATCTCGAGAACGCCTCTGATACGAAGCACTGCTAATTACAGCACTCTCACAAAGCGAAACAAACAAGTCGGCTACAGACAACACCGGTGAGGTCAAGTAGATGTCTCAAGCGGTGGTGACGTCAACGTAACAATTCCTATCGAATGCCATATCATGGCTTTAACTATATTCCGCTGTATTGGCTATTGCTCGGAAAGTCCTGCTACAGCTTTCACTATAGGATTGCTACCTATGATCCCAAAATGAGCTTTGTAATCTGTATGTGTTCGCAAATAACACTACAGCACTATAACTGTCCGTTCCGACCTACATGATTCGGGATTTAAGCAAAGACTTGATCCAGGATTGATTCCAATTCATTTAGACATTGTGGTCTCGACATCATCTCTGGAAATCACCACTCACAGGCTGTGTTTAATAATGATATACGAGCCTTGCGCTGTACATGTGCATTCGATAAACAGATGAAGCAGCCGTTTTATAGTACCATGGGTATATATGATGTATCCCTATACCACCTCCCACGAAAGCGGGTACTTGCAGCTGTCACGTGCATATCTCGTCTTTCTCCGTACCACTGCCTGCTACCAGACAGACTCTAGGCCAAATTCCCTCGGGCGCACCCCGGGATAACCTCCATCCGCCCGCACTTGCGCAACTAGAAACTAGTGTAACTCAAGGGATGTACATATACACGTTCATTAGAAGACTGTCATGCGCGTATCCTGTCTGTCTTTGTACCACCGCCTACCATGCGCGAGCAGTTGCACCCGCAGCCCTTCGGACACCGGCTCTGCTTTTGAAACCAGCGTAGCATATGTTGCGTATGTCCGGCATGTCCACAGTCCAGGCAAACCGTCGCAATACCTGAGAAGCAATTACGTATATATATATATATATATA